TGGCTAAATTATCAAAAAAGACTGTTAATTGAAGATCAACCTAATACAATGTATTTAAAGCAAAAAATGCAATGAAAAGGAAAGCAATATTTATGTACTTTTCAGACACACAATTACCATCTGAAAAAAGATGTGATATTTTCAGCTCTCTGCTTCCACTCCAGATTCCATGGCCCCTTCGTTTATCAGTGCCAGTTTGGGTGCCGGTTCTGTGTGAAGTGAAATAATAAATATCTTGTATGTTAGCAACGACGGGCAGTCTACTGTTCACAGCAACAGGAAGCGTTCATTTTTAGATTGTAACATTATCTCTAAAAGATCAAGAATGGATAAAATAAGATTTGCTATTCAAGCTGACTAGACCCTGTATCCTGTAATTTCCTTTGACCACTAGAATTCAGTAGAAAGTTTCATATTTGAAAAGACTTGGGACATTTCATTGCAAAGGATTATTTCATTTTACTATTGTCTTTTCCACTCAAACATCTGTTTTTCGGAAACCAGCATTAATTTTGATTAACTGAAGGAAAAAAAGCAACTAATTAGTGGAAAAACTATTATTTCTAATAAGAAATATTTTCATTCTTTTGATTTTATCCATGTTTGGTGAACAGATGTACATTTGTGATAAACCAGTGAATTTTGAAAAAATAAATAATGTAAAATAAGTAAAAAGGAAATGTAACTAAAATCTCAAACACTTCAAAAAGAAAAGAAAAATATAATATTCTCCCTGGTAATGCTCCCCTTTTTCTTCATCAAATAACTTATGGATAACTGGGTTTCTCTCGACGCAGTGATTTGCCGTGCATCTCTGTTTCTTACAACTTTGAGGTCATATCGTTTACGTAATGATCTTGAAGAAGAAAGAAAATGCAAAGGGAAGTATGAAATAGCTATAATCTGTTTCCTTTTAGAGTAGACAAAAATTCATAAATTCTAAATGATCTTTGTTATTTTTTAAAATTCCAGATTTACATAAGACAGGATCTAATGTCATCTAATACATCTAATGTCTTGCTAAAACCATGCAAGGTGAAAAGCTGGAAAAGATGAGCTCTTTATACAGGCAGAAACGTTTTGTTTGTGGTTGATAGGGTAAAAATTCCAAGAGGAAAAGCCTGTACTAGTTAAATATGTGCTGAATGCCATCCCCTTCCATCTTCCCTATCTTGTATCTTCAACTTCTACCTTGAAATCTTCCTGTCACACTACAAACATATTCATACCTCTCCTACTAGGGAAAATAGCCTCATGAATCCTGAATTCCAACTTAACCTGTTATCCTGCTGTCTTTTCTCTTTTCCTCTCAGCTAAGCTTCTTGAGAGAACAGTGTTTATTTCGTCTCCCTCACCTTACCTTCTCAATTCACTGCATCTTTCATCCCCTAGCCTACGAATTTTTTACTCAATTGCTAAATCTAGTGGGCCCTTTAAGTTTCCTTTTATGTTAAGATAGAGGCATGTGTTGCCTTTTTTATTAAAATTTTCATATTGCCAGGCTTGCTTCATTATTTGCATGTGTATCTCTTTCAGTAGGATGGGTGTCCCAGGAGGGCTGAGATGTTATTTAATTGGAAACCTTAAGATGATTGCAATGCCTGGCTTATGAAGGTTCTTAATAAATGTTTCTTAAACAGGTTTTTCCTAATTGGACTGCAATGATTTTTAGAAATGTGGAAGTAGCAGGGTATTTATACAAACTTGTATTCTTGTTGGTTTGTTTAAATGATGTGGCCTATCTTTCCACATGGTTTGGGTTTGAGGGACTTGTTTCCTGTTTCTTTTAAATGGTTTCTTGCTTTGAAACCATTTTGCTCTGAAACACCCCTGCGAGTTTAGTCCGCTCTCTCAGAGGAGGTCTGGGGCCCACAGCGGGCCTCCCAGTCAGGTCTGGTGATGATGCACGACATTGCATTGTTGGCTTAGCCGCCCGGGTGGTTGCCTGTTTGTGGGGAGAGGAAGTAGCTACATGAAAACCCTGGGGAAGCCAAATGCGGCCTCCACATCCAGGCAACTGGGGCTGGCTCCAGTGCAACAATGGCCGGCTACTTCTGAAAGAGCAGCTGTGACACAGCTTTCCTAGCTCACATTCTCATCAGATGTGTCCTTTATGCGACTTATTTTATTTTTTTTTTACATCATTATAAAACAATATCATCATATTCTAAAATTTTGGAAGATTAAAGAAAAAAATCATTCCTATTATCTACACACATTGATACTTTGAGGTTGTCTTTGACAGTCCTTTTTGTCAGCATTTAAAAAAAAATTGGTTGTCATTGTAGGGTCCACTTTTTTCACTTACTGGATCATAAGCAGTCTGTTGCTATGTGGTCGTATAATCATTTGAAATCAGGCCACTTTTAGGCTACATTTTGGAAGTAAGGGAATCTTGAGGCATATATACCATCCTGAACAATGTTCCTGAAGAATTGAATTCCACTGTTGTCCATGAAGCACGAAGTCCAGGGAATTCCCATGACTCCAGGTGATGCTGTTTCTCTGCAGCAGTTACTCCCTTTCTGTGGTCTTTCTACAAGTAGAGGTCAAGACTACCATACGGGTGCTTTTCTGGAGCAAAATTCACACAATTTTACTGAGTGATTCCAGTCTCCAGAGATAATTATATACGCAGAGAGAGATTTTATGTACCAGAATATTTATTTTAGTGCTTCTTTTTATATGTATGATTTTTAAAAATTAGTAACAATCTACAATGCCCGACAATCGAGGAATGATCAGATAAGAATGGGATAGGCTAGTCTGCGTCTGAAGTTAAGCAGAAGTCAAAAAAGAGAGAAGCTGACCAGCATTTCTACACAGGTCAGTCAATGAACAAAGTGTGTGTCATATTAACTCCAGATGAGCTTTGAATTGCTCAGAAAACACCAAAACAAAGGCAAGTTCGTTTGGGAAATATTGAGGAGAGGTTAAGAATCATTTCCATAAGACACAGCTAGGCAAATCCAATGTGGGAGAAAATGACAATGTCAGTGATGTTTCCTGTCACTCCAGCATCTTTCCTACAGACTTTCTTAGTTCTGTGGTCAAAATTTGCTTTTGCTTTTATTTGCATATTTTCTGCTCCCTCCCACAATGATCTCCAAGTTGGATATGCCAAAGGAGACCATTTTCCTTAAGAATTTATTTTCATTTTTTCTTCTTCTGGGATGGTGGAGCTCATAAGAAGCAAGAGAACACCTTTGTAGCCCAGTGCAGCCAGAAGCTCTTGTTGAATCTTGTGATGACATGCATGACTCCTGAGATTACACAGCCTTCCACATTAGAGCTGCTCTAAAGTCTCATGGACTAGCTATAAAATGGGAAGTTATAAAAAGTACTGCTATTCGCTATCCGTCGGAAGAAGAGCAGTGTTTATTGAGTGTGATGGTCATCACTAGGGCTGGTTACCATGCAGTTTTAGTCCACCTTGTCCCCTATTCTGGGCACAGGGCTGGAATTCATTTCCTGGACTTATATTGTAGTTGAGGTGGTATATTAGTTTTGGCTAATGAGTTATGGGGCAAAAGTGATGTGTGTCAATTATAGGCTTCACATTTTATTAGCAGTATAATTAACCACTGTCTTGTCCCCTCTGCCGTGACAACTAGCAAGGTTTGACAAAGTTGTTTACAGAGCATTGTTTAAAAGATAAAATCACAAGACTGCTCAGAACAGGGAGTGACTATGAATTCAAACTCTTGCTTTCTCAAAGGAGAGTTTCAGTGTGAAATTAGTAAGTCCTCACATGGCCTTTTTTTCTTTCCAAGTGGGGTAGGATGAGGCAGATTCACCCTAGAAGCCTTCAGGCATGCCACTGTAGCCCCTCCCTTGCTGAAACACAAAAACCTATGTCTTGGCTGGAGCTTTCTTGGCTTCCAAGTCTAGACCTCTGTGCCCAGTGTGTTCCCATGTATTTGTGCATCAAGATTCACCGAAGCCTTGTGTGAACGAGATCAAGACCAGGAGTCACATTGCTTGGCTTGGCCATTTAACATCTGTGTGACCTTGATAAAGTTAAAATTAACCCCTCTTAGCTTTGGTTTGTTTCCTGTAAAATGGGGTTAGTAATAGTATCTTCCTCATAGGCTATTGCGAGGATTCAATGAGGTAATGCATGTAAAGTGCTTAGTATGGTACTTGGTACGTGACGAGCACTCCTCTCTCTCTGTGTGTATACTGATTCATTTTGTACATTTAGAAATAACCCATGCAAAGTAATCCTATCTCCATTTTAAGATTGTGAAGGTTTTTTCCTGCAAGACGAAAGAAGTCTTGGAGTAGCAAGTAACCAGTTTTTATTTTGTTGTATTTTTTTTAGGCACACCAAGGATGCAATACAGTCGGCCCTCTGTATCCATCAGTTCTGCATCCATGGACTCAACCAACCGCAGATAAAAAATATTCAGAAAATAAATTCCACAAAGTTCCAAAAAGCAAACCGTGAATTTGCCCCACACACAAAGTACTACATTGAATCCAGGAGAACTGAGTGATGTGTAGGCATTGTTTAAGGCATTGTAAGTAATTTAGAGACGAAGTAAAGGATAAGGGTGGATGTGCATAGGCTATATGCAAATATGTTGTGTTTTACGTAAGGGACTTCAGCACCCAAGGTTTGGGTTATGGGTGGGGGTGTGTCCTGGAACCAATCCCAACGGATACGGGGGAATGACTGTACTTTGAAGAGAGAGAGTAGCAATGTTCAAAATGCAGGAAGTGAAAGAAACACAGAGAGCATTCTTTGGAAAGATACTTGAAGGTTTTTTTTCTAATCCTCATTTCAAACCTGGGTTCCCACCCTTTTCCCACCAACTCAGAGACAACTTTTTCTGACACAAAGGGAGAAAAGAAAACATATTTTTGAACAACACTTTTTTCTTGGAGGTTTTCTTTTTGAAAATGATTTTTAAGTTTGTTTGAGGCAATTTTTACTGGGATGAACCAGCTTCTTTTGGAGGGTGGACAAGTCACTTCCCCTCTTAGATTTTATCTGTTTCTTATCTGTAAAATGAATGCATTAGGGTTGATAAGTCTTCCTATATCTGGTGTTCTTTGATTCTACCATTCCCTGTTTAAGCCAGAGCCTAGGAATGTAGATCTGGAGGCTGTTTCTGTTTTAGATTGTGGACTAGAAATTAAGCACACACTGCCCCAACTCCCCCAGCTGCCTGAGACTTGAGAAAAAGTGAGACTGTAGCCCTTCGAGTTGGCGTTAGAGCTCTCCGTGGCATTAACCTGTTGTTGGTCTAACGTGTGGGGCCGGAGGAAACGTGCTCGCAATCTGTGAACATGGTTGCTGCTGAACAAACGCGTTTTGCTTTCTTTCTTTTCCTTTTTTTCTTTTTCCCAGGAGTGAGGAGGGGGAGGAAAAAACCGGTCTTTGTTGTGAAGCCACGGTCCCAAACTTGAACCTAGAGGAATGTTACAGCTCTGAAAAAAAGTTAGGGAGCAGCCTTGCAATTAAGCACTCAGTCACAACAAGAGGGTAAGAACGTTCAAGGCACTGGATTGAAGAGACACAAAAGTCAGGAAATGACCCTTTCGTCGGGATTTCAGAGGCCGCAGAGGAGAAACAAAGTCCTCTCACAACTTGGGAAACTTCGGACCGTACCATCCCGAGGGGGCAGGGGTGGGGGAGGCCGGGAGAGGGCAGTGGAAATTGACATCTTCGCTCCCAACGAGCCGTGAGTAAACTGAGGATTTCCCGGCTGAAAGGACTCAGTGTCTGCCTGTCCCCGGCCCAGAAATGAAAGCGAGTTTCAGCCGATCCTCATTGTGGAGCCTGCTGAAAAAGCAGCCCGGGTCGCCCCGGCCAGCCCCGGCGTCCTGAATCGGATCCCTGTGCGCGCCAGGCCGGGCCGCGCGCCCGGGTTGCAGGATGGCGTGCCCAGGCCAGCCCATCTGCGGCCGCGGGCCGGCGGGGAGGAAGCGTCCCTGGGGATGAATGGGGCTTTGTTCGTAGGCAGCCGCGGCTACCCTCTGCAGGCCCGGCCCGCACAACAGAGGCTGTATGCGACAGGAATGGAAATGAGCCTCAGGCCCTGCCCAAGGAGCCCCATCCCCTTCCCCGCGCAGGGCTGAGGAATGCTGGCCAGCCGGAAAGGAACCCTCGCGGGGAACGCCGCTCTCGCGCCTCTGAAACCCCATTGAGAAGAACCCTTTGATGCAATTAAAGCGTATTTCATTGCAGGCCTGGGAGGAGGGAACGACCGGCAAGCTTTTTTCTGTCTCGGACGTGTGTGTGCACCTTTGTGGGCCGGGTTACTTCGAGAGCAGGCAGGAACTTGAGCTCCCTCTCTCGCAGACGTTCTGTAACATCAGAAACGCGTACCCAGAAGCAGATTGGTTTTCACCAGGGGTGGGATCCAATTTGGACACCATCCAGGCTGACCTGCAGGCCGGGGTTCCTACTTTGAAAGGCTCTTTGGTGCGCCTTACACCCACCTTCCCTGCTGTAAAGGTTTAGGCGGAAAAGAAATTGCGTTTGCAGGAGGAAGTTGTTTCTGAGGTTACCGCTCAGCATTTTCCATTTTCTCAGTGGTGGGGTGGGCTGTGTCGCCTATCGAGAAGTGATGTCACAGCCAGACCTGCAAAGTGATGTAACCTGCAAGTGTTGAAGGACGACGAGGGGACAGCTATTTTGATACTCGTATTATTTTATAACATTTCCCTACTTTTTCCATCGAGACAACTGTGTGACCTCAGAAAATCCACACAGCCTCTCTGAGCTTAATATTTGTGGTATGTTAAAGTGAATATCACAAAGCCAGGGAACAAACGTCGTGAAGTTCTGAGTGCTTGTGGAATTCTTTCCGAGTTGGAGGTGGACACGTTATATACCTGCACACGTGGAAGATACGTGGGACTGGAACTCCAGTAAACAAAGAGATCCCATTGGGGCCTCTGTTTGGTTGCCTTTGTGTCACTTTTTACTAGGGCTAATTGTCTAATGTGTCCTTCCACTAGTGTATGCCTCCTTGAGAACGTGAACCTTTAAACAACAACAGCAACAAAACAACAACAACAAACGAAGACAGAGTCCTGCACGCTCTTCCAGGCTAGAGTGTAGTGTGCAATCATCGCAGCCTGCAGTATGCCGGCCTCAAGCTATCCTGCCGCCCCACCTTGGCCTCCTGAAGGGCTCCAATTACAGGAGGGAGACACTGCACCCAGCCAAACCTGTCTTTTTTTCTGTATCTCCTGTGCCCAGAGCAGTCCCTGGCCCTGATAAGGGTTCAACAAATATGTCTAATGAATGAACGAATACATTCAGGAGTGTAGGGATTGATACTAACTTGCTGGCTGTTTTCTGTTCCTTATAAATCTAAATAAGAAATAGGGAGAGCATGGTAGGTCTTTGGGGTCCTCGGGCGAGGCATAAGTTCAGGAGAAGTTTGAAGGAAAGGGTTGGAAAACATTTCTGAGAGCAAAAACATGCTACAAGTGTTTCCTGAAATGACCCAAAGGAGAGCGCGGCACTCAGGTGGAGGAGTCACTTTTTCCAAGTGAGTGGATGGTTAATACTGGCAAACATGAATCATGTTTTATATTCGTAAGAAGTGTGCCTAGTCAATCACTGATTCTTTAAACCCCCCAGGGAAGCAGGGAGGGAAGAGTAGTGGCCATGCATGATGGACATCATTGTTTCTTATACGTTGCTCTAATGTGTCTCCATGGTTCTTGTTATTTTGGGCCTGGTTTAGACTTCTATTTCATTGTTTTCCTCTGAGGTCTGGAATACACGAATATGTTTTCCACTGAGAAAATCCAACACACTTTTGCATCCCAATCAGGAAGTTGATAAACATGAGATATTAGAGTACTTGCTACCTTAAATATACCTCCACATGTCTGCAGGAAATACCACTCAAGTAATGCCTCGGTAAGCAAATGCATGCTCCTGTCTTCTTCCCTCACTCTTACATCAAACACACACACACACACACACACACACACACACACACACACACACCACACACTCACACTGATCAGATGGTGAGTAATATAAAGTCTGTTTAAAGATGGGACCCCCATGATTCTTTGTTTGTGTCAGGGGCAATATGCCAAACACGGCTGACCACAACTTTGTTTCTTGTCCTGTGGGTCGGTTTGGCTGTTATTCTAGTCATCATTTTGTCTTGATGTGGGCGTCATCCCTGAAAGTGGAGACTCTTTTTCAGACTGTCCCATGCTTGTCTATTTAACCAGGTGAATACAACCCACTTAAAACTCACATGGGAGGTGATTCCAGGGTAGAACAAAAGTTGTATAGTAGTAACAGTTGTGGTTCCCTCCCTGTACAGAACTAGTGAGTTTTCATCAAATCATTGAGTATTTCTGTTTCTTTCTGATTTACAATATGCTTTTGTAGAGCACCTTTATCCTCATTTCAGATTGGTCATTACTAGGCAGTGACTTGAGTCGATCTACCTGATGCTAGCAAATAATCAATGATTCAGAAGGGATTAGTGAAAGCAAGGATCAAAGGTTCTTGTCTGATTACCTTCATAAAGTCAAAAATCTCAAGTGATCATGTTTTAAAAATTTTGATTTACTTGTTTTTTTAAAAAGACTATACCTGTTTATCTGGAAATACTCACAATTCATTAGCACCTTTTATCTTGAGATCCTAGAACTCCACATGCTTGGGAATTGTGGATGAGGAGAAAGTTTGCAGAGACAGGTCCCAGAAGAGAAAAAAACAAGGATTGTCATTCCATACTGCCAATTAAGAAATTACCTCAGAGAGGTAAAGTGGCTTGTCTGTTGTCACAAATGGTGGAATTAGAGTTGGATCTCTATTCTCCTGATTTCCAAGACTGTCCTCAAGGCCTCTAGTGCTTTAATGCCAGGGAACCCTGCTATGTAGATAGAGACCAGACTCTGGATCCCAAGGGACATAGGAAAGCTGCCTCGTCAGATTTGATAAGATTGAGATAGCTATATTGCATGCTGCTTTTCCATTTTTAGAAGGTATACATTATTAGCTCAGCTTCCCTTTTCTTCTGCCTTATTTGTCCAGAAGCCAGAAACGTGAAGAGAAGACCTCGCCTTGATTTGCCAGATGACCCATGGCCCTTTTAGTCAAGTTCCTGGAGAAGTTAGGGTGGAGACTTATTTATCCTGTGTTTGGGGCAATAAAAGGGGAGGGGCCGCCTCCTCCAGCCTGTCCTAAAAAACCAAAAAGCAAGGCTATTTACTCAGCCCTAGGCTACTAAGTGCTGGGGTGGCCCATGTTGACTTAAATGAGCCCTTGCAGTTAGGTGGGGCTCTCTGGAGCTGTTAGTCATGTGAGGTTGCCAGGGCAACTTAATGTCTTATGAGCTGGAATGCTTCAAGAAGTACAAAGAGGAGACTACAAGAGTGCATTGCAACTTACAGTCATATGTTCAATAACATGTCATCTTTCCTAATGGGGCTTTTATTTTTATTTTATTTTGTGGGATTGAAAGATCAGAAGCCGGAAATTATCTGGAGAGGATAAAGAAAAGGAAAAATTAAAGGAGGGGGCTATTTCTGTTCCTTATGTGGGCAATGATTAAACAAGGAGAACATCTGGTCCTGGAGCGGGTCTCTGCGGTGCTGCTTTTAATTACCCCGTCATTTGGTCTCATGCTAAATTAGTGACTGTGGGAGCAGCTCAGATCTCCAAACTGACAGCCCCGAAGAGCTCAACTTAGCCTGCCACATAGTCAGAGGGGAAACACGGAGCTTCCGGTTTCATATTTAAACCAGGGATTGACTCATAATTGTAGCTGTCAGGAGGGTGATGGAGACATTATGTAATCTGGTTCTTATGGCGATGTGTGTTTAAGGTTTCTGCTCTGTAAATTCCAGAGGAAATTTTGTGTCCATTGAGGGAGAGCTTGCTGGCTGCTCTGTGGTGTGCCCTGCAGGGTAATTACAGTGCTATTAAAGGTTCCTAAATCTGCCTGAATCCAAACATGAATGAATTTCCCCCTGAAAGGCCCTCCTGTTTTTCCATAGACTTTTAAATGTGGATGAGGTTAGGCGAAATCTGGCAAACTGCAAAGAGGCAGTATGCTGGCCCAATGGGGAAATGTAATAATGGCAAGCCATTCAGGTCCACAACTATTTTTTTTCTGGACCACATAGCTTCCCTTACTATTTCCCATCATTTCCAGTCTCAGAGATTCTGAAAGCGGACACCAGTTGCTTCTGGAAACAAAGCACTGGGGCTGTGGATCGTTAGTTCCATTTTCATGCTGCTTATTACTTGCCTCTCAGAGGTTTCAGGGCCTCTGTGGACTGGTGTAAGTTTGCTGGGCAGCCAAGGAATCTGCTTGAGGCAGATCCAGTGTTTGCTGCCATCAAAAAAAAAAAAGAAAAGAAAAGAAAAGAAAAAGTCAGATGAGGCTGTTTAAGTTTAAACTAAAAAGAATGTACTTTTAACTATTTTGCTGGACGGAGACTTGTGGTATTATGTGATTGTTCTCTGTACCCAAGTAATATAAGTTTTGGCTGCACGATAAGAAGGATTCATTCATAGAGAATAGTGCTGATATTAGAAGAATAACAGTAAAGATAAAATAGAACTTTAAAGGGTGAATGGGAGTTATGGTGGTGGGAGTGATGAGGACTGAAACCCTCAGACACCCCCTGACTGCTGGTCTGGTTGACCCAGAGTTCCTGCATCTGTTTCTGTACCTTTCCTCCCTTTCTTAAAAAATCCCCAGTCCACTGGTACTTGGAGTGCTGTACTTGGCCTTTTCATGACATCACAGAAGACAATGGTATATAAAAAGTAGTTTTAGTCAAAATTAATAGCTACATGTGTAAAAATGCATCATCAAAATGCTGGATATCATGGTCATCAATCAATCATCATCATCATCATCTATATTGTAATTGATTGCAGTTGGGTGATCTCTGTTGTAATCTCTATTTTTCTAGAAAAATGAACAATTGGGAGAATTGGATATTTGCCCGTTGGTCTTTGAAACATGGTACTGGAAGTGAGCAATGTTCACTTAACAAGAAGATGGAAAAATCAGCACTTGCTTTCCTACCACGCCTGGGAAATTTTTATTTAAGGTCACCCCATAAGTAGAATGGCTTGTCTTACTATGGTGGACCACATTTGCATTTTAGCTTTGCTTACCTGGCTCCAAATATTCAACTGATATGAGAAAGTTATTTTAATGAAAATAATATATTTAATATGCTTGTGTATATTTAATATTCTTGTATACATAGAAATGTATATTTAAAGGAACCATGAAAAATTACCCCTATTCTTTCACAGTCTCAAGGTGTATAATCTTTATTAGGAAATAGTGACGGTATAAAAACTTGATTTATTTTCTCCCACGAGGCTGAAGTTTTATATGAATATTATACAGTCACTATAGCTTGGGACAGTATCATCTGACTGATGGATGATGCAGGGATGGATAATTTCATGAGTTGTCTAGCCAGAGTTTATTCATTTTTCTAGTCATTGAAATGAGAAGACTTGATATGACTCCTATTGAGATACTTTCAAAGGCAACCATCCTTGTAATGGATTTTCTCTGTCAGAAAATTAGGTACTGATTTGCCTATTATTTTTCCCTGTACCAGAACGTACAGATGGACTGGGGATTCCTCTTCCAATTAACCCATTTATGCCTGAGGTTACAATTTTTGGAATTTTTGGAATCAGACCTTGGTGATGACCTTGAGCAGTAGGATATAAATAATTCCCACGTGCTTAGCATTCCAATAATGGAACACTAGGCATAAATAGGTGAAGGGCCATTAGCTTATAGAAAACGATAATCGAAGACAACAAAACAGTATTATCCTGGGGGCTTAAAGAAATTAAAGTGAGCATTGGATGTGGTCATCAATAGGACATTTCCCTTTCTTGTCTTTTCTGATTTCTGTATCCAACCCCAGGCTTTCATCATTGAGAATGAAGTAGCCAGAAGGGACAATTACCAGAGATAATAACTTATCTTTGATTTTAAAACATTAGGGAATTTTAATTAAGATTTATTAATAAATACATTGAATTTAGTTTGATTAGAATTACAGCTTTAGCTTGGCCTAAAAATGCTCCACCTTTCTGGGATCCTCCCTTCAGTGTTCTGACTCTTGGGCCACATGTGTATTTAGCTCCGTGACAAAGAGCCTTGGCTCCTTCAGGCACGATGCCCACATCATCAAGGTTAGAGGCGATTATAACTGATATGGGTTGCAGTCTGTCTCTGTCCTTGTAAATTCTGGATTGTACTTGCTCACTCCTACTTTATATCTTATCTTCTCTTCCTGCAGACCCATGCTGTGGACTTCAAGCTCCAGCATCGTGCACAAAGACAACAGCCTTACAAGGACTGCTTAACCAGCCCCCATTGTGTCAGGTCAAATTTCCATAAGAAACCCACTCCTCCTGATCAAAACACACACACACACACACACACACACACACACACACACACACACTCTTCCTAATGGTTTTGCTTCTCTGATTGAATTAATATTACTAACATTAATCTTGTTATGCAGGTATCAAAGAACTAGGTAGGATTGTCTCAAACTCTATTCATTCCCTGTAGAAGTTCAAAGTCCTCCCTAAGTTTTCTCCAAATTCTGTGAAGTCCACATTTTCATGGTCACTTTTGGCATATCTAATTTACACAAAAGACCCTACAAAGCACTTGTGAGTATAATGTATTTATTAAAAATTTTGATGGCATGGGCAGACAGAAGTGCAGTTCATGTTGAAACAAAAATAATTTCAAATTTAACTTCACTCATCCTTATTTGTAAAATGTTTCTCCACTATCCCATCCTTAGATAATAGATACCCTTCTCTCATCCTATAAAATCCCCAGCTTCTTGGTGCCTCTCTCCTTCCGCTTTTTCCCTTCTGCTTTCTTTTTCTCCTAATACCCCCATCCTCTTGTTTGCAAGTGCAGACAAGCTTAACTATCTCTCTTTTCTTTTATGCTAAGATTATTGTGGACATATGTCCATGTCCTCAGGATCGAACCTTCTATTCCCGATGGCTATTTTTCCAAGCCAAGTACTGTTGCAATTGTTAAGAAAACAAAAATGTTACCTGGTTACAATGATAACAGGAGCAGGAAGCATACATTTAGTGCTTACTATGATCCAGACTCCAAAGGCTCTTTGTCTTGTCTCATGAGATTCCCACAAAAATTCAGTGAAGCCTTGCCTTATGAGTCCTTTTAACAATCTTGAGATCGGATCATAGAAAGTAAAAAATAAAATAATAAGGCCGGGCGCGGTGGCTCAAGCCTGTAATCCCAGCACTTTGGGAGGCCGAGACGGGCGGATCACGAGGTCAGGAGATCGAGACCATCCTGGCTAACACGGTGAAACCCCGTCTCTACTAAAAAGTACAAAAAACTAGCCGGGCGAGGTGGCGGGCACCTGTAGTCCCAGCTACTCAGGAGGCTGAGGCAGGAGAATGGCGGGAACCCGGGAGGCGGAGCTTGCAGTGAGCTGAGATCTGGCCACTGCACTCCAGCCTGGGCGACAGAGCGAGACTCCGTCTCAAAAAAAAAATAATAATAAAATAATAAAAAAGCAATTACAAAACCTAATATTTATTGAGTTCTTATACATCAGACACTGTTTTAAGCCCTTAATGTGTTTTGGTTTGTTTTTACATTGACTCTTCACAAGTCTACTAGTTAAAAAAATTATCCCCATTTTACAGATAAAGAAATTGAGACAGAAAATTAGGCAATTTTCTCATAATACGTAAGAAGTGGTGCCAGGAAAGAAATGGAAACCAGGCTGCTTGAATCTGGAACTCAGAATACTGTTTGAGAAGGTAAGAAGGTGTTTAAATGTTTCACATGTAGTCAGTTTCCTAACTCCAACTTCATGACACCTTTCCTGGCTGACCGAATATTTCAACCATCCTTACATTTTATATTTTTCAATCCTGTTTAATTTTTTCTCATGGTACTTAATACTGACACGTATTTTACTTATTTATTTTTTTTAATATTCTGTCCCCACTACTAAGATGTAAACTCCATGAGGGGAGGGACATTGCTGTCTGTTTTACTCACGATCTCACCTCCAGGGCTGATAGGAATGCCTCGCATGTAGTAGATGCTCAGTAAGTAGTTACAGAATGAATGAATAAATGAACATATGCATGTATGAAGACCTGCTTACACAGAGGACAGGGCCTTCTTGTTAGGTTTTGCAGATACGTCAGGAAAACCCCTTTTGAATGGAATTTGAAAAGGCTCTAAATTGGTGGGCTGTAAATGTGATCAGACTCATGTTGGGAGATCTTCAAATACTGGGCTCATTTTCAGTTCACCTCATGTTCCCTTCTGTTCTCCGCCTCCCCTAGGTGTATATGTTTAACTCTCTCCATCCCGGTTTAACTGCCTTCTCTGTGGGCCTATTCTCTAGGAAATTCTTTGGCCAGTTTACTTTTCCCATGTATAAGATGGAGATAATTTTACTTTTAACAACTTCAGCAGGATTTGGAAGAGATCATGGAGATGATAGGAAACAAAACAAAGTATTGAATCTTAGGAAGACTCTGGCTATGGAAACATAAATGAAAATTAAGATAAAATCCTTTTATCAGTCATCTACCTCTCCATAATTTGAAACTTTCATCTCAACGAAATAACACATAAGGCTTTGTAGAAATGATGACTTTTGTGACTCGTTGCTATTTTGACCTTTAAACAATTTTTAAAAATTATTGTTAGAAATTACCTAGCATGTATATTTAGAATTCTTTTTGTTTAATGAGGAAGTTACTTTTTCAGTTTGATTTTTCTATTTAGGCTGGTAAAATGTATTAAAATTGTATCGTGAGTTAACTACAAAGATAGTATCCACTTATTAGGTCAACAAACATTCTCAAACATTTTTTTATGGCAGACATCATTTTGGTAATTAAAACAGCAAAAATGTCAGTGAGAAAAACAGAACCCTGGGTTCTTGTATCATTCACAGAGAGATGTTTTTTAGAGATTGGTTATTGTATTAGCTTGTTAGGGTTGTCACAACAAAGTACCACAGACTGGGTGGCTTAAACAACAGACAGTTAATTTCTCACAATTTTAAAGGCCAGCCATCTGAGATCAAGGTGTCATCAGGATTGGTTTCTCCCGAGGCTTCTCTCTTAGGCTCGTAGGCGGCTATCTTCTTTTTCTGTCTTAATGTGATCTTTCCTCCGTGCCCATCTGTGTCCGGATTTCCTCTTCTTATAAGTCATTGAATTAGAGCCTCACCTCAATGACTTCGTTTTAACTTCTTTGCCTCTTTAAAGCCCTATCTCTGAATACTGTCACATTCTGAGGTCCTGGTACTGGACATTAGGGCTTCACTATATGAATTTTTGTGAGGACACAGTTTAGCCCATAGCACTTCTTATATTGCCAGTCTCTTTGGGTTTCCTTTTACTTGTTTAAAATAACAGTGGTGCTTGCTATACCTGTTATTAACACATCACTTAGTGGTTTTCTTTCTTTATGAGTATTGCAACTAGGTGGAAATAAACCTCGCTTTGGGAGTGACGGTAATATCAGAGGTCATAGATGGACCAAACTTTGATCAGCATTGCACAAACCCACCTAAATGGACAAGGGAACTGTTTTCTAAGATTTAAGCTTTTTGGAAAGTATCACACAGCTGAGCATTTCTTAAAGGGACTACTAAAATGACTGAACCAGACTAGACTTTTGACTAGATGGAATTCAAAGTTAATTTTCCTCTGGCAACCAATGTGTAGAAACTTGGAAGACAAGTTTCAGGTAAAATAGAGGAGTTTAGATCCCATCACCATCATTATTATTGTCAACATCATTTTTACCATGTCACAGTGGATGCTTTTACACTCGTTTCTTCTCCTTGTTCTATTTTCTTCCCAACAAGTTTGTGAGCTGCTTGTGGGTAGGAAGTCATTTAAGACTGTTGTCCATGTCCATTTAGGCTTTGCATGATGCTGGGCACAGAGCTGGGGCTTGGAAAGCACTCATTGACCAACTGCAAACTGGTTGCTGAACATGACAGGCAGAGGGGAATGGTGGTGGAAGAAGGATAGTAGGGAAAGGAATAGTTGACTGGCATGGCATAGCAAAGAGTGAGTCCCCAGGTGATGATGGCACTCTTGCCCTTGATCCAGCTATTGATGGAAGTCGCTGTGGAGTTCTGATGAGAAGAAAGAGATGACTTTGTGGCTGCATGAAAAATGGGCTTCAGAGCAGGATTTCTCCAGTTTTATGAAATATAGACTTGTCATGATCTGCAAAAGAGGTGAATTATTAGTTTCTCCTCAGCTTTAATCCGTACTTCACCAGAGAAAACGCAAATGGTGGCAAGTGGGTAGGGAGAGAAGTGGGATCAAAACTGAGTTTCCACTAACTTCCTCTGACAATGGTTATAGTAAAACATTCTGACTAGGAAAAGATTAATCTCCGTTTGCAAAATTAAAAAGAAAACAAAAAACATGTGGAAAATATTATGTTGATGCATGTTTTGCTGAACAGATGGTGACGGTCCACAAACTTCTCAAGGATTTCCCTTCGAGGATGAAAGGAGAACATTTTAATTTGGCCGAGTAACCTAGAGTCACTGAATCTGTTATGATCTTGTCTTGTCTCTTCTTACAGAAATCCTTTTTATTGCCAAATTGTGGATTTTTCTTCCAATAATTTTTAACAAATTACTTTAATCTGGAATACCCAATTAGCACACAAATGTGATGTTTCTTTTTCTGCTAGTTTAGTGTTTCTCCACAGGCAACACCTCATCTTTGTATTTTACATATTTATGATTCTTGTTTTGAGTCCCTGAAAGCACGTCAGATATAATGTGGACTGGCCACTTATTCAAATCTATGTTTTACAACTGGGGAAACCGAGGGCTGGAGGCTTCTGTGACCCTCCTCAACATTTCACAATGAGTCACAGCTGAAGAAACATTAGAAATGGATTTCTTGAGTCTGAAGTCATTGACCTTTCACTAGCCTTTTTAGAAACTGTGATTCTTGATGTACTTGAAACCTATTTACTTCTGTATTTTCTTTTTCTGTGCTCTCTCTCCTTTTTGAAGAGTCTAAAGAAGACATAGGGAAGAGATTTTCCCATAGAGATCCCCCGATTGTTGGTTTCCTTTGAAATGAAACCACAGCTTTTCAAGTAGAACTTCGCAGAGGTTTATAAGAGGAGCCTGCTACACAGCTGAAGGAGGAAGAGGAATGATTGGTTATTAATTTAGCACTTTCCTTATGTCATCAGTCATTTCTTCTATCAGGGGACATTTTCTTTACTAGAAAAGAAAAAAAAAGTTAAAATTAAGGACAGCAAGCAGTGGCCAACTGTTTACCATTGATTGAGGTCTGGGGACAGGTGTTTAGGATTTTATTTACTCCGCTGCTCCCTAATGACTGCCCTCCTTTTTCTTCTTTTTCAGAAAAAACTTTTTTTCTTTTTCTTTTTTTTTTTTTTCTGAGACCGGATCTCGTTCTGTCACCCAGTGCTGGAGTGCAGTGGTGTGATCACGGCTCACTACAGCCTTGCCCTCCTGGGCTCAAGCGATCTTCCCACCTTAGCCTCCTGAGTAGCTGGGACAAGAGGCACACACCACCACACCCATCTAATTTATTTTTATTTTAATTTTTTTGTAGAGATGGAGGTCGCACTGTGTTGCTCAGGCTGGTCTCAAACTCTTGGGCTCAAGCTATCCTCCTGCCTCGGCCTCCCAAAGTGCTGGGATTACAGGCATGAGCCACTGCACTGGGTCTGAAAAACAGAAACAAAAAACAAAAACAAAAACAAAATCTTAACATATCTGTCCTCTATCTAGACTCATCTAGAGTGCCTCCATGAGATAGGCGGCCTTACAGAGATCCAAGTGAATCTGGGCCCATCTTGTTGATGCTGAGGTTTGGTACCTGGTGCTGATCAGGGAGGGATGACTTGAATCTGCATTGATTTGTAATTCCAATGTACTCCAAACCTCTGAATAGGCCTGGAGACTGTGACCTGGAGCTGCACTAGCTGGCTGATTCTTCTTTCCCTTATTTAATGATCCTTATGGATAATTGGAAGGTTGTCCTGATACGATGGCCACTCTTCAATTATTGTACACATCCCTTTGGTCTTTATTTTCCGTTTTTATTCCCTTCTCTCAAATATTCTTGCATACATTCACACTTTACTCCTATAGTCTCTACTGCAATTCCTATAGTCTCTACTGCAATTCATTGCTTAAAGCTTTCTAACACCAGGAGTAAAAGAAGGAAGAGATGTTCTGCTGCTATTAACATGAGTAGCTCAAAATAAATTTGGAGTGTGAGTGTTTTAAAATCCAAACACTCTTATGAATTTCTGTTTCCATCTCCAATTTAGAGTGAAATATCAGGAAGAAACAAGGAGAAAAGTAGTTGATTTATTATGTAGTTAAGAAATGCTAGATGGTTTGCACAGATCATCTCATTTAATCCTCACAACAACCCTGTGAACTGATTACTATTATTAGCCTCATTTTGTAGACGGAGGGACTATCAGCTTGGCAGCTCCACTGAGGCAGTACTCTCATCTTCGTATCCCCAGGGCCTGGCATGTGATCCTTAGCACAGCGTTTAATAAGTAATTAATGAATGTGAGTGGCTGAATTCTCCCCGAATTTATCCATTTTGACCCCTGGATCTGTATCACACCTAGCTTTTCTTTTCCATCTTGCCTTTGAAGTCTTTCCTTCCTCCTTGACTATTTTCCATTTCTCACCTCTTTCCAAAAAGAGCTTGAGGTGGTTCACAAATATATACATATGTATAAATACACATGTATTATTCAACACTATAAAAAAATAAATGAGGCAATCAGGGAGAGTTTGCACTTATTTTTTCTTCTCAGATTTATCTTCACTTGCCTTGACAAAGAAATACCACTCAAGGTTTTTACTGCGGATTTTCTTACACTTAAACTAAATATATAAGCTGGTTTTCAAAGGTGCTGGCCACATATACTGTTCCCTTGTGTTGATATTCCAATGTCTATGTCACCTGAGATGGCTTTAGTGAAACATTTGTCGCTGTCCTTCATACTACCCAGTTGTCAGTCAAAAATTAAGCAACTTATATGGGGTTAAAGTTTCAGGTAATTTACCCATCAGATAGTGGTGTATTTTCAAACTATGCTCCAAAGATCTCTGAAAGTTCCATAGAATTAGGTCGGGACAAACTTGGAGGATAAATGAAGCTCAGACAATGAATAGGGCTCTGGGTTCCTTGTCTTTGTTTCAACCAGAAAATCTTTACTTTTATACTTTTTGTATTTGGGTTCTCTTTTGAAAATTTATTTTCAAAATAAGGATAAAAAGCCACAACTCTACCACTTTATTCCATTTTTACTCATGTCTATTTCTCATTAAATGTCCACATCATTAGCCTAAGTCCAACATCATGTATTACCTAGTTCTGTTTTCTTTAGAAGCTTTGAAAAATCCTTTTCATCCTCTTCCCTTTTATCCAGTATTCAAATATGTGCTGACTCTGTAATTTTTCTATGTCATCTTTTTAATGCCTGGCTTAAAAAAAGAAGATATGCAAGTGAAATCAAGAAATGACTCAGAGGCCAACACTTATTTAAGGAATTCCTGAGAATGGACTGTGTGGTCTGCAGAGACACATGCACATTATACATAATGCACTTGGGCTCTCTAAGGTAACTAGAGGTCTTAAAGGTGTAAAATCGAAATATCTTGAAATTAAAACAAAACTCCAGGGCTGCTCCACTTTTGGATATCAATGGCTCCTGTATGAAAGGAATTGAATTTGAGTGTTTTTGTGTTGGTCCTGAGGACGAAGGTATTGGTTTCTTAGAAAGTCCATCTATGGTAAAGTATCACCTCTCTCCCACAGGTCGACAGTCTTGTGTCTCAGTCCTCTTTGTCTCAGGTAGTGGATTAGGTTGTCAGTACTTTGCAAATATCTTGCTTAGCCCCAGACACCAATTGCTCTCCACTTGTTTCCTTCCATTTAATTCTCCTGTCTTACAACCAACATAGTTTAATTAACCTCACCTTGACTTGCGATGAACTATAAATAAGCTATATTTTCCATGGGTTCCTAGAATGTCCAGGGCAATAGACTTAGGGACACCCCTGGGAATTTTATAGCAAGATAACATGGAACCCGTGAGGAGAAACATAAAACAAAAACAAAACTCCGTGGTGAAAATAACTAGATTCGGGGAAAACAAAAACAACAAAACAAAACTCCAGAGGGATATGAATTTGCAGCCTGTTTGGGCAACAGATTCCTAGTTATACATTTTTCAAAACTGTAAAAAGTAAGCAAGAAACTCCTCCCACATTGTGGAATATATACACTAGCAAAACCAGCTGTAAAAGCATTCTGAAACTTAGGCTTGGGGTGGAGAGACAGAAGTGCGTGTGTGTATACGTGAGCGTGTGTGCGGGTGTGCGTGTGAGCATGTGTGAGGTGGATTACAAGAGGAGTGAGAGAGAAGATGGTGATAACTTTTAAGAGGATGATTTGCAAAGTGGCCTGCATGTTGATTAATCTTTAGAAAAGTGCTGAGCCCTGGAAAGTCCCAGACAGTGGAATCTAGCTAAGTTTAGCAATTCAAAGGGCAGCCGTGAAAGGGAAAGGGGGTTCCCAAAGGTCAAAATGCAGGCTGAGGAATGTGGAGAAAAAGAACCGTCTCCGTTTGTTTTAGGGCTTGGGGAAGGATGAAATATTAAGGTCTATTTAAAATGTACAGATAGCAGCAGGACGCGGTGAGTCACACCTGTAATCCCAGCACTTTGGGAGGCTGACGCAGATGGATCACTTGAGGCCAGGAGCTCGAGACCAGCCTGGCCAACATGGTGAAACCCTGTCTGTACTAAAAATACAAAAATTAGCTCGGCGTGGTGGCACATGCCTGTAATCCCAGCTACTTGGGAGGCTAAGACACAAGAATTGCTTAAACTTGGGAAATCGAGGCTGCAGTGAGCCAAGATCATGCCACTGCACTCCAGCCTGGGCAACAAAGCAAGACTCTGTCTAAAAAGAAAAAAAAAAAGTACAGATACCCAGGTTGTGTTTAGCTCCTCTTGACTCTCTGGCCCTTTTGGTGACATTCCACTGGTATCTGCCTGTCTCTCTACCCCTCATCCCTGTGGTACTGGCTTCATAAAACATAAGGGGCATGGTTACCTCTCGATTCTTGTCTTAGGATGGGCAGCTTAGCCTATATGCCAGGCTTACTTGATCAGTAAGCCACAAATATTTGTTTAGCATATGTATTCATATGCCAGGCCCAGTACAGGAACTATGAAATGCAACCAGCCTCTGCTGCTGACTTTGGACTGATACTCTTTAAATATCTATTTTATTAACTATTATTTAACCAGGGCCACTTCTTTAATTGCTTGTGTGATGGGCGGAATTCCAAGGTGGCTCCAAGACGCTTGCCCCCAGTATCACTGTGCTGGTTATATTGGTTTATGTGGCAAAAGAGGTTTTGCGGGTATAATTACGGTTATTAATCAGTGGACCATAGAAGAGATTATCGGGGTGGGTCTAATCTAACCATATTACCACTTAAAGTGTTCTCCAGCTGGTCGTGGGGAAAAAGTCAGAAATTTGAAGCAAAGGAAGGATGTGAATGCCACTGCTGGCTTTGAAGAGGAGAAAGGCCAATGCAAGGAGCAGAGATCAGCCTTTAGGACCTGTGACCAACTCCCCACTGAGAGCAAGGAAAGCAGGGACCTCAGTCCTGCCGATCATAAGGAACTAAACTCTGCCACCAACTTGAATGTGCTTGTAAGTGGATTCTTCCCCAGAGCCCAGCTTTGATTTTAACTTCCTGAGACCCTATCTACAGAAACCAGTAGAGGCCCTCTGGACTTTTGACTTACAGACTGTGAGATAGTAAATGAGTATTGTTTTAAGATGCTAACTCTGTGGTAGTTTGTTATGCAGCAATAGAAAATGAATGTAAGGTCGGATGTGGTGGCTCATACTTGCAATCCTAGAACTTTGGAGCCCAGTGTGGGCGGATCACCTGGGGCCAGATGTTGAAGACCAGCTTGGGCAACATGGCAAAACCTTGTCTCCAAAAAAAAAAAAAAAAAAAAAAAAAATACTAGCCATGGTGGTACATGCCTGTAGTCTCAGTCTCAGCTACTGGGGAGGCTGAGGTGGGAGGATCACTAGAGCCCAAGAGGTCAAGGCTGCAGTGAGCCAAGATTGTGCCACTGCACTCTAGCCTGGGCAACAGAGTGAGACCCTGTGTCAAAAAAAGACAGACAATCAGAAAGAAAGAAAGAGATAAAGAGAGAGGGAGAGTGGGAGAGAAGGAGAGAGAGAGAAGAAGAGAAAGGAAGGAAGGAAGGAAGGAAGGAAGGAAGGAAGGCAGGCAGGCAGGAAGGGAGGAAGGAAGGAAAGAAGGAAGAAAAGAAGGAAGGAAGGGAAGGAAGGTGAGTATAGCTCATTTCCAGAGTTTCAGTGCAGCCCGTAGTTGTACTGTGCAATTTGCAGTGTCATAAGAAAAGGTTTATGAGGAGACTTTATTTGTTTTTAGTTTAATTATTATTATTATTTTTTTTGGAGGCAAGATCTTGCTCTGTGACCCAGGCTGGAGTGCAGTGATGTGATCACAGCTCACTGCAGCCTCAATTTCCTGGGCTCAAGTGATTGTCCCACCTCTCAGCCTCTCGAGTAGCTGGGATAACAGGTGTGAGCCACCATGCCTGGCTAAGTTTTTGGGGTGTGTGTGTGTGTGTGTGTGTGTGTGTGTGTGTGAGAGAGAGAGAGAGAGAGAGAGAGGGAGGACGTTGTTTTGTCATGTTGCCCAGGCTGGTCTTGAACTCCTGGGATCAAGTGATCCTCCCGCCTCGTCCTCCCAAAGTGCTGGGATGAGAGGAGTGAGCCACCACGCCCAGCCTTAGCTTAAGTTTTAAAACTTCCATTTGGGCTCCTGTCAGTTTTGTTGGGGACAGTCTATGGCAGATACTGTTGACTGACTAATTATTCCTTGCTAAAGGGACCCTAATTTTTTTCCCCCAGTGCAGATCCTTTGATTCCATGGAAGGCATGCCCAAGTCTAAGGTGAGCAGGCTTATGATCCAATTCTGGCCAAAGAGATTTAAGTAAAAGGCTGTTGAGGGGCTTTGGGAAAAATTTTACTTCTTGATATAAGAGACAGAAGCTGAGAAGAAAAGCTCTGCATCGCACTGTCACCTGCTTCCTGCCTTCCAAGGTGATGTGATGATGTGCTGCAACCGTCTTGTGACTATGAGCAGGAGGCCTTGAGAATCACAGAAATGCTGACTAAGGGCCTTGATGCCTTGGAACCAATGCTACTACTCACACCTAGATTAGAGAATTATATTTATTTGTTTATAATCTATATAATTATAATTATATAGATTAGTTAGAGAAAAATATTTATTTGTTTCAACTGTAGTTCATTGAGTTTTAATGGTTTATAGCTGAAAGCCATACAGAATTTGGGTCCTGGAAGTGGAATACTGCAGGAAACACACTTTTTGATAGGTCAGAGTGGAGGTTGCAGACTCAACTCTCAGGCAGGAAAACCTTCAGTATAGCAAACTATTTAAGCAACCATTGGTTTTATCTGTCTTATAATGCAGACCACAGGTTGACTGAGGTTGGAGTGGCCTGGGAAATGAAAGGAAAAATTCAGGATGTTCCTTTGTGTTGGGTTATTTTAGTGGCTGTTAGCAAAAAAAGTCCTACTATGAGAGGACCAAGTTAGATAGGTAATCTCTAATCTGAGAGGAAAGAAAGTATGACTGCTTAGAAAGATGCTTTCTAAATGTGACCTACAGTCGAAATGAACAGAATTCCATGCTTTGTAGGGCTGGAGAAGGTGTCTTTGATATCTCAGGTTAAAACAAGCAGAGGCAGCAAAGTGGCATCTTTAAGACCGATACAACTGGGTATTTTTTAGCACAAAAACCTGATTGTGTGAGTTAAACACCAGAGGATTTAGAAGAGTGCAGGATCTAGCTGCAGAGAGACAAGGATTCTTAGCCTCAAAGACTGTCTAGACGAGATCTTTAGCTGTGGTTACTAATGCAAGGAATTGACCAGACACAAATAGACGGAATCTACTAAGTTTCTGAGAGGACCTTTATTGCTAAAGATACTCCAAGCCTCACCAATAACTGCATGTAATTATTGAACCCCAAAGGCAATCTTTAGCTGTCTGAATTTGTACGAACATGCAGGGATTGCTAACATTCGAGAACTTTCTCTTGAATGCTCATTTCAGAAACAGGCATTAAAAATAGTGATTAAGGAATATCTTTCTAGAGGGAAGAACCAGAGGCTATGGAAGAAAAATCTGGAGATTTTCGTCAAGAATAGAACCAGGAATTGTCAGATTGACTAATCAAAGACTGTCTTCATTGAGAGGGCAGGCATTTCTCACTATGCCTTCCTAACAGAATGAAGTATATGCTGGCAAATATTAAAGATTTAGTCTTTTCCAACAATTGTATATTAGATGTGTTGGAAGCACATCTGATTTTTGGAGAAAATTTCCAGACCTAAAAGAACTTTATCTCTGGACCAAATGAAGATTGAACATTCCCTAGAGATACTACATTTGGAAGTGAATGTAGTAGTTAGAGGAATGCCGTAGTTTTCCTCCCTTGGGGAGAAGGGTAAGTACACCTAAAAACAGCATGTGTAGGAAGAAGGATGTGTGTGGATGTCAGATTGCTAAAGGGCTGGACTGTGGCAGGCACTGTGAGCTGGCTACCTAAAAGCACTATTTACCCAGCTTTCTTCCATATTAATGATCTTAGTCATCCACCTCCACACTCCCTGCTCACCACCCCAGCACTTTTTGGACAGAATTCCCTTGATTTCAGGAATAGTGAACTTAGTCATAAAACCTGTTGTGGGCATGTGATCCAAATCTAACCAATAATACAAAAGAAGATGCCTTCTAGAAGTTTCTGCAGGTAAATGGTCCCACTTTTGACATGTTATTAAATTGCTAAACTTAAACAGCAATCACCTAAGTCTAAATTTGTTATGTGAGATGAAAGAAATTCTTATTTAAGTCACTATTTTTGTTTATTTTTATTTCTTATAGGCAAACATTTCTGTTACAATTGAAAATTTATATTTTTGTCATTATGTAAATCAGGGAGTTGCCAAATTATAGTGTGTGCATCCAATCCAGTCCACTACCTGTTTTTGTAAATGGTTTTAGTAGAATATAGCCACTCCCATTCATCTATATAGTTGATGGCTGCTTTCACACTACCACTCAACAAGTTGAGTAGTTGCAACAGAAACCGCGCAGCCTGCAGAACCTAAACAAATTCCACCTGACCCATTATAGAAAAATTTGCCAACTCCTGCTCTAAAGAGTCATACGTAGAAGTCAGTTTAAGTGGAATAAAATATCACTTGTTTTAATAATATTTTAGTATCGTCTTTCCCAAACTTGCCAAGCATGTGAATCATCTGTAGCCTTGGTCATACTTACGTGTTTCAAGATCCTGATCTAAGTCTACTGAATCAAAATATTCAGTGGAGAAATCTGGGAATCTGTATTATTAACAGTTTCCCCACAAGAATCTTTTGACCAGGCAAGTTTGGAAAATGCTGTTGTAGATGAGTGTCGTGGGCAGCTGCTTATTTGGCCCACCATTGAATTTATAACTAGCTCCTGCCTGTAATTCACTGCAAGACTCCCAGTATGACCAGGAGACTGAATAAGATTCTCTGAGATCACAGAGACTTGCTTATGAAATGAAATACAGTGAATAGGAAGATTTTGATGTAGTAAAAGTTGCATCAGCTCTGGAAATGAGAAACCCGGGTTCAGGTTCTAAATCAGCCTCTAATTAATTATTTGATCTTGGGCAAGTTTCTCTCTAGAACCTAAGATTCTCAACTGTAAAAACCTCAGTAAGAGGGGATGTCTCCAAGTTGCCTTTTTGGAAATATGAATGTCAGACTCAGAAAGTAGGAAGTGCCTAAGGAAGAAAGACAAATATAGTTTCTCTGTTTCTTGAAATTCTTGTCTTCTTGATCAGGGTTCCTCAATCCTGGCTGAACATTAGAATCACCATAGAGCTTTAAAAACACCGGTGCTTTAGGTCTCACCCAGAGAGTCTAATTTCATTAGCCGGGAGGAAAGCCTAGCCATTAAAATATAAACTTTCTAGGTGATTCCGTGTGTTCAGTCAGATGGAGAAAACCATCTAGATGGTAATAGATTCTTTTTTTCTATTTCCTAGTCAAGGGTTATATATACATACTAGTTTCACCATTTGTGAAACACAATAAATAAGAAGAGAAAACAAGATCAGTAGTTCTCAAATACTGGTGAGTCAGGAAGGCTGCAAAAAATTATAAGGAGAGCCTGTTAAAAAATATAGCTCTGTAGGCTCCACCATCAGATTCTGCTATAGCAGCTCCAGGGCAGGAAATCTATATATTTTTTATTTCCTCAGGTCCTCCTAACACTCAACTGGTTTGGGAACCATCGGGCCCAGTGATCTCTGATGCTCCTTCCAACTTGTAGGATGTGAATTCCTGGGTTTAGTTATATAAGAGGTAAGTCACAATTTTAAGAATATTTTAAAAAGGCAATTGGTACTTCAAGATTAAGAGATTGTAAAAGGGATGTTATCAAGCAATAGGAATGGGCCTGAGTGAGGTACTAGTTGATAAAAATTTGCTTACCTGTTTTACTGTCACAGAAAGAGCCATAAGGATGTGTCCACACAGTTCAATGATTTCCCCTCGGGAGTACTTGAAAAGGTTCTTCCTTTGGCCTCTTTATTTGCAACTGTTAAGTTCTAGTTGAAAAGAACGAAAACGCTTCTCTCAAACGGGTTAGATGTAGTTTATCAAACTATATATTATAGACAGCAAATTGCAAATGAAATAAAGTATGGCCACAATCTGGTCTTGTATTTACTACTAATCCCTTTAAATTCTGGCATTAATAATTCCCCGCACTCATTCCTTCTTTTGTTCATTTATTCATTCACTCAATAATGAATTTAAAGTTCTAACTATGAGCCAGGAACTGCTCTAGGCCCTGGGGATACGGCAGCAAACATGAGTCTCCTTCCTTTCAAAGCTTACATTCTAGTTGGGGAAGTTGGTAATAAATAATTAAAGTATTACATGGTGTTAATTGTTAAGGAACATAAGACAATGTAAGGCGAGAGAAAGTGGCGGGAGCTGGAGGAAAGTGTTATTTTAGATAGGTAATCAGGGAACGCTGCTCTGTTATGGTAATATGTTAGCAGAGACCTAAAGAAAGTTAGAGAAAAGTCATGGTGATATCTGGGGAAAGTATTATACAGAGGAAACAGCCAGTGCAAAAGTCCTGTGGCAGGAAGGTACTGGGCAGGATCTGGGATCAGCAAGTGGCTACAGTGGCTTGCATGGAGTGAGTAAGGGTGGGATGTTGGAGATGGGTCAGAGAGTAGCAAGCCGTCATCATGGGAGCTTGACAGGCCAGTTTTAAAGTCTTTGTATTTAACTCTGAAAATCAAGGATGGATCCCGCATTTGAAGCTTATAATCCTGAGGCTTTCTATAAGTAAAATAATACAAAATTAGCTACAAACCTAATATTTATTTGGAATGAAAAAAATCACAATAATATCAGTTTTAAAAGATATACACACACCACAAAATCCAAAAAACAAAAACAAACCCAAACCATAATAATTTTACTGTGACACCTCTCTGTATTACTTTTTTCTCCTTTTTTTTTCTTTAAAGGTATAAACAAAGCTAATTGCATTACTTTTTCCCTCTTCATTAGTTTACACTAAAATATCTTAGATTATTCATATTATTTTCTAACATCATTTTCAATAGGAAGAACTGAAGATAATTCAGTCTTTCCTGTAGCTTGTTGGTACAAAATTTATCTTTTTATTGTTGATTTCATGGAAAAAATTTTCTTTAATTTTATAACTCATTATTGCTAATGATATGTATGTTTTTTAGAATTGTTGTCAATTTGAGAAAACTTTTCTCAACTTTCTTTCTTTATATGACCATAAGATTTGTAGGAATTTTCTGTGTACTAGCTTCTGGCTGCATGTATTTCAACCCCCTTTTTTCCTCTACTAGCCACATATTTCTGGTATGATGAAGACAAGTTCCTATCTTATAACCTCAGGCTATGAACTTTAATGTCACAACGTAGATTGGTACAGAGGATGACAGAAGTATTCCTGGAAGCCATTCCAACACCAGGAAAATTTTTACACTGAAGTAACTGTGAACCACAATAATACATCCTACTAACCCAAACTAAATGCTTCTCTAATTCAACTTCTCCTTCCCTGGGCCTGCGAGTGTCTATGTCTGTTCTCACACCACTTGACTTAAAGAGAAATGTGACAGAGGGAAATAAGAAATAAAGAGCTTTGGTAAAAATATCTCATGTTTGCAAAGTAAAAAAAAAAAACGACCACATGAGCACATGGCCAGAGCCCCTTCCAGGGCCTTGGAAGAGCTCTGTGCAATGAGGGACCCTGAATCTGCAGATTTATTAGCTTCGAGAACGATCCATGTCTGGTGAAATGTGAAGTCACTGGAGGGTTTTGAGCAAAGTATTAACGTGACCTAATTTCAGTGGTAAAAGGATAATTGTGTCTGGGGAGTAAAATATAGGGGAGCAAGCCCGAAAGCAGAGAGATCAGTCAGGAGCCTGAAGTTTAGGTTGCAAAAGAAAAACAAAAACGCAGACATAACTCATTCTGTGTGTTCTAGGAAAGCTGACTCCATTACTCATTAAGCTATTGATGTGTTTCCTAACAATTCGTGCCTGCCTGTGTCAGCATTGTTTCTTTTCTTAGCTATTGTTGAGTCAGCAATTGTAGAGCATTCTCTTGATCTTTTCTCTTCTCAATGTCTTTAAAGTTCAAGTTTTACCAACAATATTTTTGTTATTATGGCGATTTCTCTCCCTATTTGCTGCTGCATAGATGCCTACGGTGCTGGGTGGATGATAGGCCTTTACCTACACTATTTCAGTTCACAGTCTCAGTGCAATCTGTGTCTGGGTTGAGAACTTCCCAGGAGAACTCTTTCCTGTTATTTAGAAACCCTTTAGAACCTGGTAATTTATCACTTCATATTATCGTATATCCCTTATGCCTGATGAAGAACTATCCAACTCACATCTTCAAGGCCTTTAGAGTTTAATAATTTTATTACATTTTGGGGGAAGTTAACTTTACGTTGTGTTGCATTAGAACAGGGATTGGCAAACCTGTTTTGTAAAGGGCCATCCAGAAAATATTTTAGACTTTGTGCACCGTATGGTCTCTGTCAGAACTACTAAACAATGCTATCATAGCAGTAAAGTGACTATAGAAATTATGCAAACAAACGAGAGCATGGCTGTATTCAAGATACTTTTATTTACATAAACAGGCCTCAGGGCTGGATTTGGCTTGCAGGTTGCAGTTTGCTGACTTCTGCTTTAGAAATTTCCTCTAGCTGTTTCATGTTATGTGTCCCAAATCTTAATCTCACGTCACCCCATGAGTCTAGAGTCTCCATCTTTAAAATGAGGACCCTAATATATGTCCTGTGTGTTACACAGCATTGTTATAAGGGTCAAATGAGACATTAGTTATAGAAATCTGCTAAAATTTTAAAGTGGCATATGTCTGTGTATTTCTTTTTTCTTTTCTTTTTTTTTTGAGACGGAGTCTCGCTCGGTCACCCAGGCTGGAGTGCAGTGGTGTGATCTCAGCTCACTACAAGCTCCGCCTCCTGGGTTCATGCCATTCTCCTGGCTCAGCCTGCCGAGTAGCTGGGACTACAGGCGCCCGCCACCACGCCCGGCTAATTTTTTGTATTTTTAGTAGAGACGGGGTTTCACCGTGGTCTTGATCTCCTGACCTCGTGATCTGCCCGCCTCGGCCTCCCAAAGTGCTGGGATTACAGGCGTGAGCCACCGTGCCCGGCCTGTCTGTGTATTTCTTTCTCTTCCCTACCACTCTACAACACATTTCCCTGCCTCCCACTCCACCTAAAACACATATATAAACATTCAATCACAGAGGAAAATTATGGCTTGTTATCTTATTCGTCTCCTGAGCTTTATGGTGAAAACTGGCTTCCCCAAACATCGCCAAACTACCTGTAATGGCACAAAGCTGAGTTTGTACTTACCACGGTAAGAGAGTCCGTAATCTAGATATAGTCTTAATGGAGCCTCAAAAGAGGGAAGGCAAAGTCAGGAAATTTATTGAAATTTTAGAGACTCACCTAGATGAAAGTGGGTCTTTCAATGCAGGGCTTGGTTGGAGTTGAATATGGATTATGATATAACGGGTCAGGGTTAATGGACACAATGAGGTGAGGATTCTGAGGAGGGGTTCAAAGAATCTTGGGGTATATATTATCATTTAATGCTTTCTATTGAAGAATTGATTGATATGTCAGGAAGTTGCTGGAATAAAAAATAAACTCATTTGTAACTTTTATTTTTACGAGCAAATTTCCTGGAATAGTAAAATCATATTTATGAACCCATTGAAGCAGTAAAGTCATGTTAATATAGTCAGTAAGCTGTGTGGATGTAGACGATTTTAATTCTGTCTTAAAAAGGATATTGGAGACCTTCTGTGAGAAAAAGACAAGGAAACATAGATGGGATTGCAGGTTTTACTTAGAAAAGAGCAGAGAATGACTAGTAGAAAAGACAATGCTATAGAGAAGAGGGGAAGAGAGGTCCAGGATGTAAAGGGTTTCTCAGCCAAAGTTTAAAGAAAATTTTGAAACAGAAGAGAAACTTTGGGGAACTAGAAGCTAGGATGTAAGTTATGTCAATAATGTCAAAAGTCAGAAAAGAGAATACTAAAACCTATCAAATATAAATTGTTTTCAATATCAAATATTAATTGTTCTGGCTGCACAGTTTTATTTTCATGTGCAAGTCTGTGTGAAGACTGAAAAATATGTGGGCATGCTTTTGAGGAGTTTACTTTTTTATTAAAAGAATACATTTTCTTAGTAGAAAATTTTAAATGTGTACATAAATAACTAGAAGAAAGACAGATAACTCTTAATTGGGAGGTGAAACTCCAGTGAAAATGAATATTAGTAGTCAAAAGTCCAGAGAAGTAAGAAAACTGACCTTCATTAAAAGTAAATAATAATTTCTTGGTGGAAGAGGAGTGGAGTGCAGACATGGGAGAATGACAGAAGAGAAGGGAGAGGATAAATTAAGAGCATGTTTGGAGGCTGTTGGCTGTTTTGTGGGAAATTGTCAAAGGCCATTGCATTTTTAGGAAACAAAATATTGATCTTAAATCTTAATTTTTTTTAGTTGCTGTGATATTTCAGAGTTTAGGCCAACAACAAAGTAGAGGTTGTAGTACCCAGTACTGTTCTCACTTCTGATACCAGCTAAAAGTTCAGGGGGTTCCCAAAACCATCCTCAGTTTTGATAATTTGCAAGAATGACTCACAGAACTCACTAAAGGCTATTCTACTCATAGTTCTGGTTAATTACAAGGAAAGGATACAGATTAAATCAGCCAAGGGAAGAACACATATGGCAGAATCTAG